AGTTTTAGGACTAATTTGACACCCCTAGATGTTTAAGGACCTATAATACAATGCACTCTCCATATAGTGATTAAAATTATTAATGTGCATCACTAATACCATTAAGGGCCAAACAGAGGCGTAGACTGACTTGTCCACGTGCCATTTTACTGTGCTAGCGATTGGGCAAAAAACTGCTTGCTTTCCCTACTGTCTCATCGGTCCACTTCTCTGGGTATCCGAGCTCCGTAGCGCATATTGGATCACTCACCTCCCCCGGGGCTTGTTAATCGGCGCAGGACCAGAGAGAGAGACGCAGCAAGTAACTGAAGGAAGCTTCTGGGGTTTTTCTTCTACTCTCCCATTGGTGGAAATCTGTGTATCGAGCCTCACAAGCACGTTCTTGTCTCCTCTTTCTCTCTCACTGGGCATGGCATTTCCTCTCCCACTCCTCTGCCTATCCCTCTTTGCCAGTGCAACTTTCTCCCCTCCTCCTAGATCGACGCCCTTCACCCAGGCGATGGCGACGGTGGCGGCACAGTACCACAATGAGGAGGGCCTCAGTTACGAGCACCGCTGTTCCGGCTGCGACAGTAGCGGCAAAGGAAGAGAAGGGATGCAGTTTTGAAGACTGTTTCAGTTAGGTATATATTCATAATTTTGCCAAGTGCAAGGGCTGCCTGTGCTTATAAAGTTCTTTTGTGGTTCAGGTAAGAGTAGAACTCCTAAAATAGTTCAATGCCAGGTACCTTAGAATTCTGATCAATTTCACTATTTTGTGGTTCCAGTTCCCATAATTGAAGCTAGCAACTATGAATCCTAGACAAACTACCTATGCTCATGTGCCGTTGGAATTTTGCACCTCCTTAACATGCCTACACTCCTGCAGAACATATAAGCTTAAACTGTCTCCTATTTATCATGCCATATGATATATTGGATGCCTTTTTTCTCAAAATTCCTCTGATACAAGTTAGATGTACACAGGTTGGTTGTTTCCTTTCAGCAAGTTTGGTTTTCTAACTTGAAAGTTCCAGTTTAGTTTTTCCATTTAACAGAGAAGGAGATACTCTCCAATCATGTGTACCTAAACATCATGGCATCATGGAGAATCAGTAAAAAAACCTGAATGAATTTGATTGCCAATTGTTGGGCTACAAATGGACATGCTTTTCTGGATGGAACGACACAAAACTCAAAGCAGGTGATTTTGCGTCCAGAACTTTTCCCAGATTACTTTTCGAAGAAACGCCAATATCTTATCCTGATATTGTGTGTGCATGTATGCTTTTGTCCATATGTCAGCAAAGAAACTTTGGGGGTTGTATAAATGTTCCTGAACAAACAATCAGTAACCCTGCAATCTTCACAAAAGAAGCACCTAACTGAAAAATCAGAAGTATTCTCGTTATTCCCCTGGTCATGTGAAGACATCAAATTTCCTCCTACAATCACTTATTGTTTGTTTTAGATTATGACCAACCAAAGCCACTATTTCGGTTGAATAAATGGGATGCTAACTGAAAACACCTGGCATTGACGTTGATAAAAGCATCTCACGCTACTTATTGATAACGTATGATTTCACTGCCAAATTTTGCCCCATCCCTTGGTTTCATTATTAAGATGTTAAGGCAGATGTGATTTTACTAAAAAAAACTTGGTCCAAAGGACCATCAAGTTTGTCATACAGGAGATAGCATGACTTGTCCTGCAGCCCCCCAGATACCTTCCATATGGCCCTGCTTAATTGGGTATCATACCAGAACATTAGGATGAGATAATAGCCATCACTCATCACACACGTAGAAGCGTAAATGCTCATAAATTTGGTTCCCTACAGATTACAGACCTACAGTTGCTTGGATAACTTCAGTTAAAAACAAATGAGATTGATTGGGTTATGAACGTGATTTGAACAAATTGTCTTGATATTCCTTTGTTTTTTATAAAACTTCACTCCCAGTCCCACCATGCACGCATTGTACTGTGTAGTACAAAAGGCTATAACGGTTTACTTTTGTGTCAATATTGTTCTTTAACCTTGAGAAATGCTTGTAGGGGTACAAGCATATATGTCTGAAATTCTGAATTACTCCACTTCTAGTGACAGGTGACTTGAAAGTCGCCAGGTGTTTTTTCATGTTGATAGTGGGCTCAGCTAGCAGTTTGGGTTTCAACGGAGTGATTAGATCTTTCTATTGCAGTGTGCTATATTTTTCCTTCTGTGTATTAGTATGATTGATTGCCATGCACTAAGACTTTCAGTTCAGCAAACTCTTCTCTGTTTGTTTTCATTAACCAATGTGCTTTCTAATATATATGATCGCTGGTTTCAGCGACAGGAATTGTTGCCACCGAAACCCTTCATGCAAAGGGTTACCCATCTGCATTTTCTCGACGATTACTCTACGTATATGTTCCGTATTTGTTGACTTATCCTTTGTATACATCATCTGTGTTTAGTTTGCACAGATTATGTTGGCAAGTTCTGTGGTGTCATCGGTCTCCCACCAACTCTGTTGTGGGTCATGTACCTAAATATGGCCATGATAGCAGGATTAAAAGTTTTTTATGTACATGATGTGATTTATTCATGCTATTATCAGAAATTCCAGTCGTACATTTGACTTTGAGAAATTACTGGCACATATGCCTGTGCGTTGCAACGGGACTAAAAATTAAGGTGTCCATCAGTGTGGCAAGATAGCATCCAGATTCACGGGAGGGAGACGCACATCAAACTATAAAAGACATACCAGTCAACCCTTAAGACCGGTGCTAAGGATCAATTAGTTCTCCTTATAATCCTAACATCTACACTTAGTTAGCTTTACACCTCCACACATCCAACTTGTAGCAACACTGATTGACCTCGCTACAACATGCGTTCGGCAATGGCGTCGTCCTTGTTGTGTCCATGTGGTCGTCTTTGCTACATTGTCCGTGTGATTTGTTGTCCTGGCAGCATTTATGTAATCGGTTTTGCAGCATGCTGGTCCAACTTCCCAATAGAAAAATAATAGCGGCGACTGGTGTTCCATTGGCGTGCTTCCAGACGTAGAAAGCGATTGACCTTCCAACGTTGTCTTATGCTTTGTGCGACAGCAGCGGGCCTAAAACTGTTGTGTGTGTCATTTGCAGCAACAATGCTCGATCGAAAGTTGCATGTAGATTAACCTGGGTTTTTTTTTCTTTCAAAAAAGTAAAACTTGATAGCAACAGAAACACCGAGAAATAAAAACATTCCCTTGCACATTGAAAAGGTTAACAAGCTGCCCAAAAATCAAAGCTGAAGGCAGGTCGTTTGCTTCTTTTTTTCGTTTTTAAGTAGTTTGCTAGCGAGACTCGATTAATCCCATGGAAAGAAGGCAGCAACATATGTCCCGTGTTGCACACATCTCGGGGGTTGTTTTGTTAGCGTGCATTAAGATTCAGCCGTCACTCACCAGCTATATATACCACTACAACCAGGTATCTTATATCTTTTGTTAGTTAGATTCAGCCATATCATACACTACATGGGACATGCAAGCACATCACGAGACAACAATCCAGCCATCCTTCCCACATTTCTGTTTAGAGCCAACATTAATTCTTTTGTCAGGCTCTATTCCCACAATTTCATTTAATTAGAGCCAACATTAATTCCTTCACTCCCGCAAGTTACCCTTCGTTGGGCTTGATGATTACTCGACAACTCTTAGGCGTATATAAACTGGTGGATTTTTGTGGATCGAAGTGAGGTGGGATAAATATTCAAACAAACCCTCTCTGTATAAAAAAATTACCGTGCTTTTAAAATTTTCAAAAATGGTCGTGTTTTCATATTTGTAAATAAATTAAAAAATGTTTTGGATTTTCAGAAAATGTTCGTGTTTTTTAAAGTTTGTTCGGAATGTTTTTTTTTCTGATTTTCACAACTTTTAAAACATGTTCAGAATTTCAGAAAATGTTTCCGTTTTCAGAAATTGTTCACAGATTGAAAAAATGTTCATGTTTTCATTTTCAAGAATTTCAAATAATGTTCCCGTTCACAAATTTGTTCAAAAATGTTTAAAAAAACGTGTTTTCAAATTTTGTTGGAGTTTCTAAAAATTTGGATTTTTTTTGTTTGAAATTTTCACAACTTTTCAGAGTTTTTGTGGAATTTCACAAAAAAATCTGTTTCCACAAATTGTTCAATTTATTTTTAAATATTCATGTTTTCCTTTTTGCAGGGGTTTCATTTTTTTGTGTTTTCCAGTTTTTCTCGGGAGTTTAAAAAATGTTTGCGTTTTCACATTTTGTTTTGGAATTTAAAAAATGTTCCTATTTGAAAAACTTGTTCATGATTTTCAGAAAATGATTCATTTTTTTAAAATATCTTTACAAATTTGTAAAGTGTTTTCGTTTCACAAAACATTCTGGTATTATTTTAAAAAACAATTGCGTTCAAAATTTAAAAAATATTCGTATCTGCAGTGGAGATTGGTTCTTAATGCTTTGCACTATCTTATAACCAGTAAAGCTTGGTAGGTCAACTGGTTGTAGCGTGACGTTGTAGTATGACATCCAGGGTTCGATCCCCCCTCAGTGCATCTTTGTTTGAAGCTACAGTTTGTCATCGCAGCCTATCAATATCTTCATGGGCCGGCCCAGTTGTTCGAGAAAATCACGGATGTACGTAAAAAATTAACCCAGCATCCCATGACAAACGAGAAAAATAACCAGCGATCTATGACGGACGAAAATTAGCTTGGTCCCACCATAAACGAAAAAAGTGGAGAAGCAATCCTCCCTTTAATATTAGGTAAAGATAAAGATTGTACTATTTGAATAGAACATGTGACTTTGTATTCCCATAATTTTTCTCAATAAAAATCCCATAAATAAATGCGTGAGCTGTTCAGGCCCAGCCAAATAGTTTGATCAAATTAAACGTGGTGCCCGACAACCTGGCGTACAGATCACCACCAAAAAGCTCGCTAAATCATGTAGGGTAACAGGGCTCCACTAGTCTCTCTCTCTTCTTCTCTGCTGGCTGGTGGTGAATGGAGAAAAAGGGCACTGATCAAATCTTATATAGGTGGCACACATGGCTCGCCCAGGAAGCGCGCCAAGGCGCACCCCAGCTTTTAGTGACATAAATACGACATTGATCAGATATTACATCAGTTATAGATATTTTCTGCTTTCAACCTAGGGTGATTTTTGGACACTTCATCTAACTTACACCACAAAGTGCCACTACAAGATTCAAGTTTTTCTCTATTTATTTTGGCAAAAGAAACCTGAGATAGTCATATACCACAATGTTGCAAAATAACAAGTGTTGAGGTTTCTTACCTTGTACCCGCGGAGCTGTTAGTCTCAGCTCCTTCTTCATGCTGCTTGCTTTCCTCAGAGCGCTCAGCTACCTTCATTTCTTTCTTGCTTTCCTCTAGTAGGTCATCACGAATCTTCTGCATGTTTGTTAATCATATCACACATGTTAGATATAGATATCATTTTTAATGATTTGATTTCGCAAGAAATTTGTCTTACCTGAGCATGAGAGGCTAAAAGTCCAATCTTGATATCATTTTTGGTCTTATCCGTGCCACACTGAGAAGTCACTAGCCCAATAACTTTGCCGTTTAAATCAAAAACCGGAGCAGACATTAACTGGTTCTGAATAGCATATCCTACGTTAAGCAAGTTCCCAGAGCGACATAAGACCAAAAAGTAATTCTCAGATCCTTCGATGTTATTCATTTTGGCATCCCTTGCAGCACAGGAAGGCTGTACCACAAATGCTGGGATATGTGATAAACAGGATTTCGAGTTAGGAGCGAGAATAAAAGCATCTGAGGGTTGATTAACATCTATTTCACTAAATTCAATCATACTGCAACCAGCTTTGTAGTCAACTTCTAGCAAAGTGAATCGATCTGCAGACACTAATCTCCTTGCTTCCAGTTCAGTGTTGTCATTGAAGTGAACAAAGATTCTACCGCTTTCTTCACTCAAACGCGAGGATGTCATTATTGCTGTTGTATTGGTATTTGATGGAGGGGAAACTACAGAACCAACACAATATCGACCATATGGATGCTGTCGAACAATCACAACAGAGCTAGAGACCTTCTCAGAAACAACTTGGAATACTTGCTCCATTTAATAAACTCTGTAAAAAAGGTCATGACATGGTAAACAAGGAACAATAAATAAAGTGATCAACCAGGAGCATCCATAAAGATATTAAAACAAGACCATGAAAAGAAAATGGAAAGGAAACCATTTAATTACTGATGAACAGAAAAAACATAGTGCTAAGATGGCGCCAAAAATTTAGATTTTTCTATAGAGTTTCTGGGTGATAAAAGACCTATTCTTAATGCAGGTGGCAGTGGCCAGTTCACTTCAGAGCGGAGTTAATTAGATAAGTTCATAAACTAGTAAATGCATTTCATACACTAGCGCGCATGTTAAATATATCTTTGCTTAATCTGACCACTTATAACTTGTAAGATGTAAGGGACCACCCGTACACTTTCGGCCTTTTTCACTATTTTGACCTTTTTAGGAAACTTTCGCACGAAATGAACTTCACACAAAACTATTTTACAATCTGACCCTTTTGATAACGCCACAAACCGTGGCGTTTCTTCTCTGTTTGAAAACGCCGAACTAGCTAGTGTTGCTCCACTTCATAAATAAATGGCAATATGAGCAAGCAACTTGCAACGCCAACACCCATGGCGTTTCTTGCATGGGCACCAACGCCAGCCACACTTGGCGTTTCCAGAAACGCGAGATACTTTGGCGTTTCTGCCCTGCCATGTAGCGTCCTGACCAGGCCAGCAACGCTAGCT